TGTTACGTCTCTCTCAGGTACCTCTTAAGATATCCTTTATCCTTGTAGGGGCGATTGCTAGTTCATTTTCTAAGCGTCCACAGCGCCGTTCCAGCCGTCTTGGCTGCTATGGCGGTGCTTGGTTTGGGGCTAACGGCGCTGTACTAGTGCGCCTAACCTTGTGTAGACGGTACATAATCAGATAATTCAGTACAAGATTGACGTGCAGACCCTGTCCAATCCCTAAAGGGGTCCAATGGTACGTGTAAATTCGACGAACCTCCTGTACTTCGTAATGTAAACTTCTTTCTACATAATCTACCTTAACCTAACCTAATCAATTAAGACCGTGGCAAGCAGATAACCACCTTGAATTGTTCAGTTCCAGTGCTCTTTCGTTTGCCGGTTGTTGAACAGATATTTCTTTCTCTCTCTTATATCCTTACTATTATTGCAAGTTTACAAGTTCGAAGCCTAACGTTAAACCGACACGACGACTCGTCTTCTTCTCACGTACCATTCACACATGCCACCATTCGGCTGATTGCCGATTTGACCGGAAACCCCCAGTGATTATATATGTATATCGCTCTACGACAGAGATAAGAATAAACCTGCTTGCGAGCTACTTTTCGTCCGATGCGATCAATGTTATCTATTAATCCACACCAGCCCTAGCCTCCGTAGGCTCGTATCGCCCTAGAATATGGCCGATACGGGTAGGAAGTCGAGCCCTGCCGCCCCGAGGTCTACCACTGGTCTCGTACCTGCCAGTGCTGACGATGGCACTTCCATGAGGTCGCGAAGTAGAAGAGCTCCCGCAAATAGAGATGCAGTGAAATCCCCAGGCTTAGCACCCGCCCAGAGTTCTACTACACCTAGTAGAGGTGTGAGTCCTATGCCGTCTCCACGCCTCGGGAGCAACAAACTACTTCCGAGCGGACGGTCGAGTCCTTCTAATGCTGCATTCTCACGCGGACTTCTCGAGGGCTCGTGGACGCCGAGTTGGGCATCCGTTCAAGACTTTGCATCTTCTTTATTGGACGGCGGTTACAGCAGCGAACCTTCGCGTCCTAATAGCCGCAACGGGAACAAGCCACGACCGAAGTCAACATGGAAAGGATTTGGAGGTGGGATTGCGAAATTCGGTAAGTCTCCTAGCGATTGGGGACCAGCACCTCCGGCTGGATCACAACCGGTCGCCGGTGACATCGGAGCAGGGTCTCTTGCAAAGCGAGAAGCACAGCTAAAGGCTAGGAAAACTGCCAGCGTGTTGGAAAGCTACGAGGGTGTCAATGGTGGTCTGGATGTGGCTGGGAAATATAAGAGGAGGAACTCGGACGAGACCCCACGAAGCGCAACAGAGGCCGTAGAGGAGCAACTAGTATATTTGCATCACGTACAGCCCACAGACACATATGCGGGTATCGTCCTTCGTTACAGATGTCAGGAACAGGCATTCAGGAAAACAAACGGTCTATGGTCACGGGATAATATTCAAGTGCGCAAGCATTTAATGATACCCGTCGACGCATGCGAACTCAAGGGTCGGCCGTGCGACCCTCCATCCCAATACTCTCAGAAAGTTGATCTTTTAGCTACTACTCCTATGACTGGGGACCTCAGAAGCCCTATCTCATCTACTCCACAGTCGCGGCAGACGCACGATAGCTACTTCGACTCTATCAGTGGGAAGTCAGCAGGACTTCATACGCAAGAAGACGAGGAACCGCCTTGGACCCATGTGCGATGGGTCAAACTCGATTTTTTCCAGGAGCCCGTAGAGATTGTCAGAGTCTCAAGGAAGTCCATGGGATATTTTCCCCCTAGGCGAAAGAAGAGTGTTCACACTGTATCCACCTTCTCAACCCCGCGCCATTCTCTCGACCTATCAAAAGCCGTAACAAACACGTCCGAAGTCTTCGACAGCCCAGCTCAACTCTCATCCAGGCGGCAGAGTTCCATTAGTGCGCGGCCAGCAGCCGCGAGTCTTGGAGCTTCCTCACCTGCTAGAAGCAGAGTCACTAGTTTGGGCGAAGCGGATAGCGTGCCGGCGTGGATGCGTAGGCCGGGTGGCGTAGGGTCGATGGGAAGGAGCGTTAAGGCGCCGGGTCCGGCGAAGGATTATCTCAACACATGGGTCAATAAGACACTCCCCGGGCTCGGCATCGACTCGATGCCCTCGATGTCCGTCATGGGGTCCGAGACCGCGCACTTCGGGTTCAACAAAGCGACAGAGGAAACAGCCGGGATCGTAGAAAGCCCCTTTGAAGACGGCCGAGAAGCTACCTCCCCGTCCCGCAATGGCATAGGTCTCGAACACGCCGCGGCGTCCATCGAGTCCTGGCTCCGTGGCGCGTGGGCAAAACGCCCGGCTACACCGAGACTAAGCTCGCACAGAAAACCGCCCGAGGACCTTGATCTCATCGAGTTGGCGGATGCGAATAGCGACGACGGGCGCAGCAGAGGCTTGGAGCCGGGGCTCTTAGATCAGGGTTTCCGCGGGAACGGCGCCACGGGCCGGAGCGAGGGCGAAGGTACGGTCAGGGGCCGTTCGGCGCCGCCGAGCGCGGTTGCGGGGAAGGGGAAGAAGGCTGACTGAGGGAGGGAGGGAGTAAAGGAGTGAGCGATTGGTTGGTTGGTTGGTTGGTGGGAAGGGCGAGTGAGATATACAACGACGATCCGATGATGAAATTTTAGAAGAGCAATCATTTTCGATAGATGGTAGTTCGGCCCGGTCCGAGCTGGCCTGATTTTTTTGATGTTTGCGTGCGTGTACCCAGTCAGTCAACTTCGCGGCAGCAGCAGCAGCAGCATATCACGGTTATCCTCTTTTCTCTCCCGTTTTCCTCGAGGCACTGTGTGCGCACGTTGGCTGGCTTGGTGTGTTGATATGAGTGTGTGTGTGTGCCTGCATTGCTGGAGGCGTTCAGGGGGATCCCATGGCGTATTTTTTTTTTTTTTGTGCCATGTTGCGGGTTTTGAAATTACCTACATACCTTAGGTGCTTACCTATGTATGCCCGGCCTTCTTCTCTTTTTTTGTTGTTGTTGTTGTTTTGTATATAGATTATGTAGTTAAGGTACTATTAGTTACATAAAGATATTTTACAGACTTGCGGGTTTGCATTCGTTGGGAAGAGGAGGGAAAGGAGACGGGGTTTAGGTATGTTGGTATTTTTTGTGCTGCTTTGTCAAGGGGGTAGGTAGTATAGAATACTTAACTACCTAGGTAGGCACCTACATATTTATTGATTTTATAGATTTACCTTAGTTAGGTATGTCACCTGTTTAGCAGGCTATATTTGTGTTGCGTTTATAGGAGGTAGTATAAAGGGTTGCTTACTATGTATGTTGAATCTTATACCTTATCTAAGGTACGATAAGATTATGCGAAGCTGATTATCGATCGGCGTTTAATCTTCAACTTTAAGGTACACATAATTATGTAGTTAGCGCTCGAGCTTCATCTTTCTCAACTCTACTTAACCTACCTAGGGTCCCCGTCCGCGCTGCGTCATGAAGTATACGTAGACACATTACATGTACGTAGGTAGGAAGCTTCTATACTCAATCCTCAAACTTGGAGCATTACGGTACCTATTGTACAATACCTTAACTACCAGGTATGTAGCTTGTCTAATTGCTTTCGCTAACTGTCGAATACTCGTAGTAGCCATGCTTCCGCGACACCCACCGCCAGGCGATATCCCAACCGCGCCCTATCTACGATCGCGAATGCCACCCTCCTCCTCTTAATCGCACAGGATATACTACCTACCTAAACTAACCCAGCCGTATTTACATACATACATACATGTTACTGCCATTACACCACCCCGCCGTTGCCGATACAGAAAAAGAACAAGAAGAAATACGAAAATGCCGATCTGCATCGAGTGCCGACACCCGGTCAAGACGCTATGGACGCAGTACTCGGGAGCCGGGGACCCGTCGAGCGGGCACAACATCCGGCTGACGGTGTGCAAGAAGTGCGGGCGCTTCTGCGACAAGTACGTCGAGCACGACTTCGTGGTGCTCTTCATCGACCTCGTCCTCATCAAGCCCCAGGTCTACCGGCACCTGCTGCATAACACGCTGATGCGCGAGCGCGACCAGTTCGACGTATGTCTATCTATTTATATATACCGTGTATTTTTTCGTAGTTATTTTAGAGAGAGATATATATATATTATACGCGAATGCTGATCAGACAGAAATATTGCCAACAACAGCCGTCTATTATACGTCTCGGAACCCTACTGCTGCTCTTCGACGTCTATCTCACTTGGGCGCGCATCGAGAAGCAAGCTGCGCCTAACCCGAATTCTCCTACGGGGGGAAGTAACCTGGGGAGTCTGGCGCAGCAGCCTATTGTATTTCAGTATCTATTCTTTCGTAAGTTCCTCCTCTCCTCCTTTCTTTCTTTCTGTCTCTCTCTCTCTCTCCTCTCCTTGAAATACTCTGCTAACCAGTTGCCTAGTAATCCTATGCACATTCTCTACGCTCGCCTTCCACCTCAGCATCCGATTCCTAACCTCATCCCCGCTCTCCCCACTCAATATCTTAGGCCTGCTACCAACGTACCCGCGGCCTAATTCGGTATCGACGGCTCTCCTGGTCTCGTCGTCTACTAAGCTGTTCCCGATCCTTATGGTCATTTGGGACTATGATGTGCCGGCGGCGGCGCGTAGTCTAGGCTGGGCTGTCGTCGCAAACAATGTCGAGGCCCTTGAGATCCTGCTTGACTGTGGGTATGGCGTCGCGCTGGCCCTAGCGGCTGCGGGCGCTGTCGCTCGTTGGTTAGTAGGCAGAGCGGTCTTGTGGGCTGTCGGGCTCGAGGACGTGGATTCGGGGGGCGAGAGCGGTGTTGCGGCTGATGGAAGGGCGTTGTGGGCGCTGCTCGTCTATGCGAGGGAATGGGCGGGGAGACTGGCTGTTGGGTAATATATTAGTTGCTTCTGGCTTAGAGCAGAATGCTCTTGTGAAGGGATACAATATGAATTGCAAAGAAGAAACCAATTCGTTCAAAATGCTGTCGTATTAAGAACACTATGTCCGCGCAGATGTTCAGCAACATCTGCTCGCTCTGCTGCTGCCAAGTGCTGATATAATTGATGCCCATCTTCCAGAACGCCAAAACCAAACACGTAGATAACGGTAACGATGTTATACAGGCCCATCCCGGCTTAATCCGGCTTGTCTTGTCCTCCTCGCAGCACCGTCGTGCCCTTTGCCATTCTTCTTCCCAACGTTCGAGCCGAACACTAAGTTATCCCCCCCTATATTTCTAACTTTCGTAACTCTTACAAACCTCATCGTCCTTGGCCCCTTTCAACCCGCATCATTCCCGCACTAGATCGCTTCGTGTTGTTCAGGAGAAGCGCAGAGCCCAGCTCAAATGTGTTGGAAGCCCTCGCGGACGGTGGACCGTCTCGGCTCGATGAGCGGATGCAGCTGGGCCATGAAGGTGATGAACCACATCAGGTAGCAGCTGACGAATGCGAGGATGAGAGAGGAGCGCCACGTTCTATTATTGAATCCCACCAGTCAGCAAACAAGAAAGCAAGATCAGCATTGGGAATATTGAATTCCTCCCCGCCGGTCGCCTTGTATGTAGGTATGTATGTATGTAGAATGGGGAAATGCAAGAGGGGGAGAGAGAGAGTGAGTTGCTTACGTCTGGTTTTCGCCCTTGGGCGACAACATCCAGGCTGCGACGCAGAGGGCGGCCACGATGGCGAGGCCGACGAAGACGCTGTAACTGTGGTGCGGTACGGGTCAGCTAATTTGTGTAGTTACGGGGGCAGGCATCGCCAACAACGTACCCCTTTGCCATATTGTAAAGCAGGGTAATTCTCGACTTCGAATTAGTAGATTTGGTAGCTGGGGAATGGGAAGGATATGTAGTTTGGCGTTAGGAAAGCTTCGGGTCTAGGTAGTGTAGATTGAAGCTTGCCTGCAGGTGGTAACGGTGGTTAATTGGTCGGGGGACTGGTAATTGGTTAAACACGGTTCAGCCCTGTTGCGCTGGACGTTGGGAGAGTTAAAGATGTGCTTACATAAGGTATGTACAACACCTACATGTATCTTATCAAGGGTTACCTGGTTAGGGACCTTAGCTAGGTACCTAGGTATTCTTTATTCGATCCCTCAATATTTTAAGATGGCATTTAAACTCAAAAAGTTCACCGAGTCGCAACAAGTATTACTTTTTACTAATACCAGTTTTGCAGCAATTAAACCCACCATATATTCTATATTCTGTTCTATAAATCATGCGTCGTTCTCAAACTTCAACCCATAGTCTTTCCTCGCAGCGCCGTAGATTCCCGCAATATCGCCCTTGTCACCGCCCGCGTGCTCGGCGACGCTCTTCAAGTAGTTTTGAGCGACACCCAGCAGCTTGAGCTCGGCGCCTCCGCTCTTGGCCAAGTTCGAGGCGTGGCCCGCGTCTTTAAGCGCGTTGTTAGCCGAGAAGAGCGGCTCTTCCATCTTCCAATATGTGCCCTTAAGCATGCGCTCCGCGTAGACGCTGTATATGCCGCCGTACAGTTGGTCGACAAACTGTTTTAGCGGTTCGGGGCCGATGCCGATCTTCTCTGCCGCTGCGAAGCCCTCGCCTAGCACCGTCACCATGTTCACGATGAAGGTATTGCCGAGTAGCTTAAGCTTTAGCGAGTTCGCTGGCGGCTGGTCCTCGAATGGGATCTCTGCCCGGCCCATTACGCCCTTGATGTAGGGTCGTATCTTGTCAATGGCAGACTTTGTTCCTGCGGGGAGGAAACTACGTTTCTAATATGAGTAAAAAAAGAAAAGAAAAGAAAAGAAAAAGAGTTCTTAGAGTAGGTCAGGGTGAAATATTCCGACTTACACGAGCTGCCCTGCTTCGGCTGCTGCTGGCGCTCCGAAGACAGGGCTTGCAATGAATTCGCCTCCCTTCTCAGCTACTGAGTCGGCGGCTTTTTGTGCAGTGTCGGGATGAATCGTGGAGCACTCAATAAATAGCTTACCCGCTACGTCAACTTTAAGGATGGTGTCGAAGACGTCCTTGACTGCAGCGTCGTTGGAGAGGATGACAAAGATTATGTCGGCCTTCTTGACGCCCTCCTCGATAGAATCGACAATCTCAGTCTTTCCCGCGGGGAGTTTAGATGCTACGTCCTCAGAACGCTTTCTGGTTCGGTTGTATAAGAGCAGAGGCTTCTCGAGGTTGCCTTTCTCCACCAGATTCTTCACCATCCCCTTGATGAGAGAATTAGTGAGTCAGGCGCAAGTATCACGATATTAGAGACTTACCCGCCCCATGTTCCCTAGGCCGATCCATAGTAGTTGAGGTGCCATATTTACTATGTCTCACCAGCTACTAAGATATATTAGTAATTAACGCTTGGGGAAGCACGGAGTGGTCGTACGTAGTAAGTACCTGTGAGCATACTTACTTGGATAATAGGGATAATAGTATATTTTATTCGAGCGTGGCAGGAAATTAGTTATTATAACGCCCGGATAGCTTCAACAAATCTAATGTGGTTATGTTCTCTAAGCGTCTATATTTCAAGCTTTAGGAACATCGCTTTAGGAACATCAGCAGAGGGGTAGCCTTTGTATCTAATATAATATGATAAGTAACCGGTTGCAGTCACTGGATACTGGATGATAATATGCCCGGCCATTGACTAAAGCTGCTGAGCTGCTGAGCTGCCCCGCAAGCTTCCGGTCTAAAGCGACCTTTAACGGCCAATTTTCGTCATTAACATTCGGCTTTAACTTGTTCATATTTCATATATCGGCAGCTGGTTGATGCATACATACATACATACATGGGGGTTTAAAACAACCTCGTGCTTCTTTAGCAACCATAAACATGCGCTTAGCCGCCCAGGATGTTATCAAGTAGTAGGGTACGGACCGGCGCTCGTGCAAATCTCGCTCTTATTACAAACCTCACTCGAGGACCTCGTCATCGTCGACCTCTTCATCTAGCTCCACCTTTTCTCCTAGATGACTATACCCCACGGTACCAGTTGCTATCGCAGGCCGACGCTGCTAAGAAGCGCGAGCTCGCCCGCGCGCACCTCCGAAACTGTAACCTCTGCCCCCGGCTTTGCGGCGTTAACCGCTACGAGACGACGGGCATGTGCCTCATTGGGCATGATGTCAAGGTCAACGTAATCGCTCCCCACTTTGGCGAAGGTCAGAGAGCCGATTCCATAGGTACCCAGTATTTGTAGATCCGGATTTCAAACTAACATGAGCAACAGAGCCTTGTATACAAGGTCACAATGGGAGTGGCTCCGTCTTCTTCTCCGGGTGTAATCTTCGATGCACGTTTTGTCAGAATCATGACATTGCTCATCAGAGGAACGGATTCGACTTGACGCCCGAAGAGCTGGCGCAGTGGTATATTAAATTGCAGGACGTTGGCAATGTTCACAATATTAATCTCATTACTCCTGAGCATGTGGTACCGCAAGTGGCTTTGTCCGTGCTACACGCACGCGATCTGGGGCTAAAGATCCCCATCGTTTACAACACGTCAGCATTCGACTCGCTCGCGTCGCTAGAGCTCATGGATGGGCTTGTCGATATTTATCTCCCAGACTTCAAGGTATGGAACAAGGCTACGTCTCAACGCCTGCTCAAAGCCGAGGACTATGCCTCCACTGCTTGCGAGAGTATCAAGGCGATGCATGCCCAAGTTGGGGACTTGTGTTTCACTGGCGACGGTATAGCGAAGAAAGGCGTGCTAGTCAGACACTTGGTAATGCCGGGAAAGGAGGCAGAAAGCGAAGAGATCATGAGATACCTAGCGCAGAATGTATCGCGAGACATCTTCGTCAACATCATGGAGCAGTATAGACCTGATGCTCACGTTGGGAAACCAAAAAGAAGAACCAAGAAGGAGGCGGCTGAAGAGGGTGTTCAAGAGGAGGTCAGATATGCGGATATCAATCGACCCGTCACTAAGGAGGAGGTATCGATGGTGAGAAAGGCCGCAGAGGCTGTAGGATTGGTAAGTCCTATCTTTCTTTAAGCTATTTACACCACGTATAAGTCATATAGGGGTAACGATCACTAACGTGTATTGCTATAGTGGCGCTTTTGCGATCCTCCTCGACATGATGGTTTTGCTATATGACGCCCTTTACATACATAAAAGTCTACTGGGCATACTGTTATTTAAATTCTTACACTCGGTACATACCATCAATCCAACATGTTCTATACATAAACCCGAGAGACTATTTTTGAAAGACATCGATATAGTCTAGAAGGGAAGATTTGCACTCTAGAACCTGCTTTACTCATTACAGAATCATTTCCATTGTGAATGCGAATCAGCCCGCGCCGGATAAAGTCTCAGTCTATAAAGTCCAAGGTAATATCTATACGGTTATAGTAAATGTCTATTACGTCCCTAAGGATGACATCTTTTGTTGATACTAACATCCTACTATAGAACAATAAACATATCCTAGGAGATCGATTCTACAACGTATATTCACTGCACGGGTGTGTATCTATTTTCTTTATGGAAACTCTCGCTACACCTAGAATCGCAGTTTGCCTTGTACTGACATTACTATCGTGAAACCAGAGCACCCTAGAGAAATGTCTCTTGTTGAACTCTTTCTATTGATTTTTTATGCCGGTGGATATTTGTCCCATCCACTTTGCCGGATGACTTGACTTGATCTACAAATAGTTCCATCTCTCTACGTCCATTCAGCATAGAGAAAATCCCATAAGCTAAGTTCGTAGAGGCCACAATTTCATTATGGCAGAAAATCCAGGAGACCAGAAGCCCCGTCATAACCATGGCTCCAGGAACCATATGAATAGATCACGACCATCCAATTACCATAGAGGTTCTGGATCGGAACCCAGACAGACGAGAGTCCGCAGTGACCCCTGGCAATCGGTTAGTGCATTACAACTAGGTCTTCACCCACGTCCCTTCTATGAACTACATACGGAGCGTGCGTATCTCCTCGAAATGCTACAGCAGCATAACACAAAAGCCCTCAAACTATTCGAACAGGTGCCAATCGCCGAAGAGAATATACAGAAGGCCGATACCCCGTACAAGCTCAGACAAGCGAAGAAAACTCGCGGTTGGCTAAGACACCGCATTACTGACACCGTCGAGGAGGAGAAGAAGGTCCTAGCGCGGCTGAGCGAACTGCATGTTGAGATACAGTGTCAGGAGAGATGGGTCCAGGTTGAGATGCAGAGAGTAGCGAGGGGACTTTCGCAACAACACCACAACCCCAACTTCCAAGATTTCTTTCCGCCGCCAATACCACCGCCGTGGACCCAGCCGATTCCACTTCCGGTCTACAATGCTTATCATCCACCATACGGGAGCACTGGATACCCAAACGCACCACCCTGGGGCGCCTTTCCGAGCCAAGGGGCGTACCCTGGATATCACTGGGCGAATCCAACTTACATGTGCCCCCCAAGCATGCCGGAAGCACTTTATGTGCCTGAGGCATTATTTGAAATGGAGGGTAACTCTACTAGCAATGCATTTGGCGGCGCGTCTAGTAGCCACCCGGAAGTTACTGCGAGAAGAAGCCCTGAGTTGGAACGGCGGCAGTCGAGCACTACGCCTCCGGTAGATAAAGATAGGCCCGAACACGATCAAGCGCGGAGCAATTCTACGTGGTTTTAGGGTGCTGGCACACTTTTTTTTTTTTTTTTTTTTGGATGCATTGTGAAGGACAGTATGGGTTTAGATAGAGGAGGGGGTTCATAAGTTATCGTTTAGAGTTGTTCATAATGAGAATCTATACCTCGTCTCGAGAGTAATACTATTACTGATAGTATCCATCCCTCCATCATCGTAATCTTCTATCCAGCAATAAGTTTTTAATTTGGAACCGCCTAAGTCGAGTAACCTAGTGTTCATGCAAATTCCCCAAACTTGCCGTCGTCAAACCCTAAATCCTGCGCTGACAACCGTTTTGCGCGCGTGCTGCTGTGCGAAGTCGGTGGCGGCGGAAGTATTCCCGAACCGCGAGGCGCTGCTGAAGCAGGTGATGCCGAAGACGACGGCGGCGGGGGCAACGAGAACGACGATAGACCCCCATCATTGCCCGAGCCCTGCTGAGGAGGCGGCTCCGGCTTCCGTCTGCCGAATCTTCCCGGCAGGTTAACCGTAATCGTCTCGCCCTCCTTGAGGCTGAGATCGCGCTGCTTCTCGGCGGCACCGTCTTTCCGCCGCTCGACGGCCGGCTTCTTCCCCCCGGCCTGACCGCCCCAGCCAAGCGTCTTCTGGGCCTCCTGCAAGGACACGCCGAAGTCGAAGGCCTCGCTGCGCTCCTCGAAGCCGACGCCTAGAGTGGCTTTGCGGCCGGCGTCGTCCTGCACGCGCAGCGCGAAGAACCGCGAGCTGTCGGAGACGGGCTCGACGACGGCGGCGGCGGTGTACGGCGCCGCGGCGAAGAGCTGGCCCGTGCTGGCGTCCTCGAGGATGATGTCCGTCTTCACCTGCTCGTCGCCATCGCCGTCGCCGTCGTTGTTGTTGTTGCCGGGCACGGGGATGGCAGTCTCGATGACGCGCATGCGCGCCGTGAAGATCTGTCGGTCTTCGCTGCCCTCGCCCGTCCAGGTCGCCGCGACATGGCCCTTTCCGGGGACCATAGGCGGGATGTTGTAGACGTGCACGGGGCTCGCTACGAATAGCACTCTTTGGATGGCGTCGGGTGGCAGCGCTCGCCCGGTGGCCGGGTCGATTGACTCCATTTTTTTATTTCTTCTTTTTCTTCTTGTTGCCTTGATTACTTAGGTACCTACCTACCCCACGTGCATGAAAGCGGACAGCGGACGGAATGTTATGTGGTGAGGGGTGGTCTATGTATCCGGTTTACTAGTCGGATGTTGATGCTTCTTTATCGTGTAAGTCCAGCGTCCACGGGGGCGGCGAAGCTTTAGACTACCCCTGAGTCCCTGCAGGTCTGCAGGAGCTGCCCCTATTATGTATAGGAGGTAGGTACCTAAGGTAGGGTAGCTTCCCCTCCCGGGTCTGCATGTTGTAGCCTCGTAATCCGTAGGCCTGGAAGAAACGCTAATGCCCAAAGGTTAAAGAAGCTACGTACGTGGGTAGGTACTGTATACGGATTGCCCCGCTAAGATAATCGATAATCTATCATCGATAAGATACTTTAACTACCTACTAGTTAGTTAACTACCTTGAAGTTTCCGATGATCTACCGATTCCATGCGCTTCATCGAAAAATCCTCAGCGTCACTTATACGTCTAACCCAAGGCCCTCATCAGCATAGCATTGAGCTCCGCCGCGAGCTTGGAACTGCGCACGATGGCTGGCCGGAGTGTTTCCCCTGGGGCGGCGCTCCTGAGATCATCTCGGATGTTCTCAATGCCAGCCCCAATACCTGCTCCTCCTGGTGACCTTTCTTCGGCAACTAAACACTACTCTCCGACTTCCACGATCCACTTCCCGACGCATCTTACTGTAACGACGACTGCGTCCTCTCGAATCAACGGCGACTGGGGTTTTAAAAGACCATTTCCTCTAAAGACTACGACGAATACCACCTACCCCCTCCTGCGGGTAAGGCAGGTCGATTCTATCGAGCAAGTCACAGATTTCCAGTCTTCATCAGACCATGCGATGACTTTACGGAAGTACCAGGAAATGAACATGCCAATCAGTGTACCAATCTCAAACTCCCATGATCCTCATTCAGCTGTTAAATATATGAAGTCGGTCTTTGAAGAGGATGCCGATCGGACTGCTTTAAACGACGAGCAGAAAGCGGAACTGGCAAACAAAAGGTGGAAGTTCTCAGGGCCATGGCTTGCCGGGATGACAGATGGTGACTTTAAGAAATTCCTTGATAAGAAGGTGCGGAATAAACGTTCTGAATTTCGCACCTTTTTAAAGAAGGTCCTCGCGGCCGAGATGTCGGAGGAACGGGCACGGAAGGCTAGGGATGCTGGGGAGGAGCTACCGCCACAACTCACCGGTGACGAAATTACGGATGACCAATTGACAGACTATATGAGGGAACTGAGGCAAGACCGCATGACCCTGTATACCCTCGTCAGTCAGTTCCTAGATCTTGCTCCAGTGGATTTGGCTACCGAACTCGAAATGCTTGGTAGATTGATACCTGGAAAAAGAAAAGAGTTCGCTCGTGGGAGTCCGTATGGAGCAACTGGACCCCCCATTACACACCCTTCAGCTGGTATTTCTTATCTGCGTACCCGGAATTTCCAGGAGAACCATGCGATCTACGGACCTCAGTTACAACATCCTCCTATCAAGGCGAGAGTCTTGAAACCCACGAACTTCGCCACCAACAGTTACAAACCGAGCGTCGGTATTGCTGGTTTCGTTGCCAATATACCGAGCGAGGATACAGTATTCAACGCATCGAAGCAGAGGAACGTATCTGAGTTCAGCAATGCCATGCATAAGTTAGATGTCGATAAACAGGGCGGATCGAAGGTCTACGTGCAGCCCAACATGGCCACGGTCGATTCCACCGGAAGGATTTACGTCACCATAGGAGATACGAACGCACAGAGCGAGCTGGTGCAGAAAGAGATGGTGGGAGAGGGCGTCGTATTCGACGAGGTTGTGAAGAAAGGTGCGATCCCGGAAGTGCCCCGTAATCCCAGGGACACTGGTAGCTTTAGCGCGCGGCCGGGAAGTACGGTATCTAGTAGTGCGAGGGGTTATGGCCTCGGCGGAACTTTTGGGAACGCGAGGGACTACGAGTAGATTCACGAGGGCTCCAGTCCCTGAAGTGGGATGAAGCAACGGAGGCATCATGCAGTATTTGATGTAGGCTCTGTGCTTTGTATGATTTCTGTATATATCAGATAAGAGATACCCTCTATGAGGTAATAGAGGAGCTCTAGTAAATCAAAACCCAAGCTCAAGTAGTTCCATCCATCTTTTTGACAGTATATTGGTGTTTGGAATATGTAGTTGGATGCTCTGGACTTATGTAATAGTAGATCTGTCAGCTGCTAACGGTTGTTGGATTGATATAAATATTTAGGTACTTCGGTACTTTTAAGAATCCACTAATTTTTGCTAACTAAGCCGCCAAGCCTTGATTCTTTCCTGCCCTAGGACCCAGAGTTTTGCCGAATTTCCCCCCCACACAGATTCTGCACACTCCCAATAATTCTTTTCGAGACATCCTCAAGCGCAATTTTGACAATCTTCGGACTTCCTTCAACAACCACATTCTCCCCCTACTAACCCCGTAGCCAACACCGTCAAAATGGGTCGCGTTCGCACAAAGACTGTCAAGAAGTCCGCCAAGGTCATCATTGAGCGGTACTACCCCAAGCTCACTCTCGACTTCGAGACCAACAAGCGTGTCTGCGACGAGATCGCTATCATCGCTTCCAAGCGTCTGCGCAACAAGGTCAGCAACTACTTCCGACGTATATACGAGACGGAATATTACATGCAATTGCAATGGCCGGACTAGCAGGGAACTCGAGCTAACTAGGAGGCTTACAGATTGCCGGCTACACCACTCACTTGATGAAGCGTATCCAGCGAGGACCCGTCCGTGGTATCTCCTTCAAACTGCAAGAAGAGGAGCGAGAACGCAAGGATCAATACGTGCCCGAAGTCTCCGCCCTTGACTTCGTCCAGAACACCGAGGCTGGCCAGCTCGACATCGATGTCGAGACCAAGGACCTGCTGAAGCACCTTGGCGTACGTTTCTTCTCCCTCCCCACCGTCTCCAAGTTAGATGTCGCTTGCTTACCATGATCTGATATACAGTTCGACAACGTCCCCGTCAACGTTGTCCCCGTCACCCAGCAGCAGAGCGTTGAGCGACCCCGCAGATTCGGCGACCGCGCTCCCCGATAAACGTTGCAAATACAAATATTAGCGATTTCATCACGTGAAAAGTGAAGGAGGGTTATGATGGTTGGTTTGGGCAACTGGTATCGGTCCCGCATGGCTTTACGGCGTCTCTACTACAGACGATAGTAGGTACCATTCTAGATCCGCAATTGACGAGATCTTTCCCACACAAGGTGTCCCTGATTCCCCAGTGCTCTCTCTGGGGATGACGGTTGATGGCCAATTCCTATTCCTTCTGCTCATATGTGACTTGTTGTACTTGATTGGGATTTACGGTCTCTAGGTCCTCGTTAACTCCATGAGTTCCCGTAAACTGAAGAATTTGGCATTTGGTACAAGGGGATGGTCGTGACGTTGGCCATTACACTATGTGTCTCGGTGCAAGTTATTGTCTTTGCCATTATTTTCTACTAAGGGTATCTTAAATGGTCATAATCTGAACGCCGGAGCTATGCTAGTAATGATCAAAAATATTGTTACATCATTCCGCCGTCGGCTTTTCGGAATCATCCTCCATATTTTCATCTTCGCCTTTTTGTTCCGACTCTTGATTGAATTTCGGTTTGTAACCATCCAGTACTAAATGGCCCTCGCCATCTTTATCCAGTGTGGGCTCTTGCGGCGCCATCTTAACGGACTTCTCCCTGATCGTAAGCTTAATCTTTCTCGTAGACGGCTTGTCCGCCGCATCGCCTCGTTCGAGCGCCAGATCCTTAGCATCCTGGGCAGCCTTCCTTTCCACGCTCTGTAACTCCCTCTCGAGCTGTCGAGTCGCATCGTCTTCTTCTTCCTTGGCCTGCTTCGGCTCGTCCAGCAGATCGATCCGGATAGACGAGATGCCCGCCCGTTCCCAGGCCGCGGTCTCGCCAAGCTGCACTTTGACGTACATGGCGCGGCGGGCGCACTCCCGCGAGCACCACCGCTCCAACTCCTTCCGCGGCACGATGCCGAAGTCGCTCCGCCCCCAGCCCACCAGCTTGTACTCGCCGCCCGGGCCGAGGCGCAGGCGCGGCCGCGGGCACAGCGCGTACCCGCACTTCTTGAGCGTGTTGCGCTCTTCGATCAGGTCCTCGTAGTCGCCCGGCTGGAAGAGCCGGACCAGTTGCCGGAAGGTGTCGGCGTCGGAAGGGGAGGGGTTCGAGGAGTCGTATGTAGATGTGGAGGAGGAGGAGGTGGTGGCTAGGGGGAGCTTGGCTAGCTCGATGATGGAGTCTTGGATCTCGTCTTCGAATGCTTGCTGCTGCTGGATTATGCGGGCTTGTTGGATGGCTGCTTCGCGGGCGGTGGAGGAGGAGGAGGCTGGTTTGTGTTCTTGGACTGGGAGGGGGGAGATGGGAGGAGATGAGGTATTGGTTGTTGTTGTTGCTGTTGTTGTGGGTTTCTTTAAGATGCCCTTGGGCTTCTTAGGTTGTGACGAAGCTGTCGAAGCTATGGAAGACATATTGTTCGGATCTTTGATTTTGTTATATGTTATTTGTTATGTACTTGGATAAAAGACAGGTAGGTAGGTTGCTGTAACTCTTTTAACTGCCGTATTAAAATTCCATATCCGCGTCACAGTCCCGCTATTACGTAGTGACACGGTGGAGGGAATGAATCAGTGAATCTATCTTAATATTTTGGGCAGCTTCGTATGTACATATGTATTATCTGCAGAATGCGTAATTACCCCGCACGGTGCGAGTCGTAACCTTCCATTCCAGTCTTCCATAATCACCTGCAGATAACCTAAGCATATGCCACAATGAAAAGTTGAGGCGTTTAGCCACCGGACTTTACTAAGGTACCTTGTATTAGGTACATGTAGGTAACAAAAAGGAGCTTGCCTCAAGCGAGGGAAAGGTGCATATAGTATCGTCATTGGCCCGTGCACTGCGCTTACCTTAACATTAAAACATTGTAGGTAACATACATACCGTACTCGCATAGTAGCAGCCTAGAGCCTAGGGACGCTCGGAGCGGGCATCAGCATTGAAGCTAAGCCAAGCCGACGAAACCCTGCACACTGCATTTGCCATTGCATCCTTTCCCTCACATTTGAATCCCATCAGCCGTCCAACCGCACTTTTCAGAACTTTTTATCTTTTGCCGATTAGATTAGTCCCGACCCTTACTGATCCCGTCGCTACTACGGGCTCATAGTGGAATACGGGGAATACAAGCAACTCATTAAACTCATTAATCATATGCACCCAACCCAACCTGGGTCCTGAAGCACGCAACCTTGGTCGACCAGGCTAAGCTTGGTTTTTACGGTGGGTTACATACATCTCATCTATTCAATCCTGTAAAAACTATATAAGGGTACAAGTTCATGCGCTGACGTCGACCTACTCCAGCCGCCAGCTGTGACGGGCTGCTCGCGAATGCTCAGCCTCATGCGTTGCGTTCCCCCTTCTACCCAATTTATCGGATCGTGATACATCGCCCATTGTATTAAACACAAACTCGAGAATAGATTCTTGTTTCGTCTCCAACAGCCAGAGAGAAACAAAAAAAAAAAACAATTTACAGACCCCACGGTCGCCTTCATCTTACTCATTGTCTACGACCCCGCCAATTGCACGAGAAGCTCCCGAGATCGAGTTCCACCAGGTAATATCACGATATTACCATATCACCAAGTTTGACATACCATCATCACCATGGCTGCCGTGCCATTCAAGGTAAAGGCCATTTATGAGTACACCTCGAGCCACGAGGACGACCTGGCCTTCGGAATTGGCCAAATCATAACCGTCACCGATAACGAGGACGATGACTGGTACGGCGGTGAATATGTTGATGATTTAGGGGTAAGGCGAGAAGGAATATTTCCCCGAAACTTCGTGGAGAAGTATGAACCGACTGCCCCGCCACGTCCAACAAGAACCCGTAAAAAGGAGGCAGAGACCACTCCTTCCTCGCCTCCGCCGCCACCAACTGCTGCTCCATCCTCTCCACCGCCTGTGGAGGAGCCTGCGGATATACCATCAGAAATAGCCTACGGAGAATCACGTGTTGCTTCACCGCCGATTCCAGTTCCCGCTCCCCGCTCTCCTCCGGCCCCAGTTGCTCCCGTAGCTAAGCCACCAGAGCCAGCTCCTATCCCGGCTCCCGTACCCGTCCAACCTAAAGCGTTCGAGCCAGCAAGCCCTCGGGTTGCTGCTCCGCCGGTATCAAAATCTCCAGCTCCAGGTCCCGCTCGAGCTGCCCCCCCGGTATCCGAGAAGCCCGGCGGCAATTCCTTTAGAGATCGTATAGCAGCTTTTAACAAGCCAGCAGCTCCCCCGGTCGCCCCTTTCAAACCTGGTAGCCTTAGCTCCGGCAGTTCCGGCTTTATCAAAAAGCCTTTCGTTGCTCCTCCGCCCAGTAGAAATGCTTTTGTGCCTCCGCCTCGCGATGTGCCCACCGCTAAAGTTTATCGGCGGGATGAAGATCCCGAGATCAGAGCTACAGAGGCGGAATCTCTAGAAAATGCGGAGAAGGCCGGGCTCGTTCCCGCAGGGACTTCTGAAGCCCAAGCGGAAGACGTACCTAAACCAACTAGCTTGAAGGAGCGAATCGCCTTGCTCCAAAAACAGCAGGCTGAAGCTGCTCAACGCCATGCTGAAGCCGTTGCAAAGAAGGAGAAGCCTAAACGTCCTCAGAAAAAGCGTACTGAGAGCGAGGAAGGGACACCAGCCGACGAGGCGGCAGAAACCCCAGCTCCTTTGGAGAAGAAGGATACAGCTGAGGTGGCCAGCAAGAAATCTATGGATGAGCCTAGACCTCCGCGACAGTCGATAAGTTCTCGGCGAAGGTCTTCTGTAGCACGTCCTGAGAATGACGGGAACGAGGCGGACATGTCCGGCGCAGGAGACACAACAGAAGGGCAAGAAGATCTCACCGAGAAAGAAGATAGTGATGAAAAATCTCGTCCCCATAGAGGAACTGCTGCTGAGCCAGAAATCCCGGAGGATCGGGAGGGAGAAGAGGGACAAGAGGAGGATGTCGACCCTGAGGTCAGACGAAAGGAGGAGCTTCGTGCCAGGATGGCAAAGATGAGCGGTGGCATGGGCTTCCACGGTATGTTTGGTCCGCCCGGGATGATGCCCGTCGGAGGCCCGGCGATACCCAAGAAGCCTAAACCTTCGCCACCATCAGAGCGCCGTTCGAGCGAAATTCAAGACAGGCCTTCGTCGCCTAGAATGTCTGCTCCCCCGGTGCCGACTTTGATGGCTCTCCCTGGTATGGGGAAACCCAAGCAGGAAGAGGAAGAAGCTGCCAAGTCCGATCATGATGAGCCAGGCGAGCAAGACACTACACCAGTTGTCAGTGCTCAGCCGACTGGCTCAGCTCCAGAACGTAAGTTTCAACCCCGGCGAGTGCTTTGTCTTATTATGACTACGGTAAGGCGATTAACACGACGGGTAGCTCTGTCAAACACACCTAGTGCTCCACCTCCCGTTCCTGGAGGCCGACCTGCACCACCCCCGGTGCCTACGGATTGTTAGTTTCGCCGCTTCTCTATTTACGACATTATACTAATTATCTTTCCAGCTCGACCCCTTAACCCCAGCGTAACATCACCCAGCCAAGGCTCCGAATCCGATGATGAATTATCCGAGAACCCCCAGAGAGCTCTCGAGACTCCCAGAGGCGAGGCGCCCCCGGCTCCTATCGCCTCTCCAACAATACCGACTTCACCGCGAATTCCCAATCGACCGATCTCCTATATGGGCGAAGAATCTTCACCAACATCCCCACCGCTACCAAGTAAGAGGAATAGCCGCCCTCCGCCTCCTATACCAGGCGGTGCTCCCCCTCCCCCTATCCAAAGTCGTCCTCCTCCCCCTCCCCCGCCTGGTGGTCCCCCAAGTCGCTCTTCTACCGCTGATGAGCGAATTGCGCTCCCAATGCGGCCTGGGCCTTTAGATAATGGTGAAGAGGGTGAACTTACCGAATATGAAGGCGATTATGACACTGACATCGCATCTTCGGTCCCTCATAAGGATGCGCTTAAGTCGCATGCCCGGGATTCGAGCTTCGATGATACTGCTTCAGTGCGTTCGCCGGTAACCGATGTTCCACCTTCATTGCCTCCTCCGGCCCCCAGCGCCGCCGCTCCGAGGGTTGGTCCGCCGCCAGTTCCTAGCCAACCTCCACCAGGCTCGAGGGGTTCCGTGGACGTACCTCGGGCCGCTCCTCCGCCGCCGCCTCCCAAAGAGGCATCCTATAACGATGACGACTATGATCCCTTCAATTACAATGCCGCGCAAAGTTCTTCTGCCACAGCTGCCCATGGTCTGGCCACCCATGACGAGCCGGCACCAACACTTCAGTCGGCTTCCGCCTATCATTCGCCGCCTGCGCCTCCTCCAGTCACCCGAGGGCCCCCACCAGCACCGCCAGTTAATAGGGCACCACTTCGAAAATCATTAGACGTGCAAAGACCAGGTGGAAGAAGATCAGTCGACGCGTCCCGACCGTCAATGGAAACGAGCTACGTGGCAAACGAGATTGATTTAGCCGGCCATACACAATGGTGGCTTTCGCCAAACGGACTTCCTCCGGTCTTTCAAGGTAGACCAGATATTTATACGGAAAGTGATGAGTCAACCTCTGGGACGTCAGTTACCAAAGAAGTGTTTATCCTATTCCAAGATTACTCGCAAACCGTGATTACTGTTCGCTTCGACAGCCAAAATCCCGTAGACGTCCAGCTTGAGCAGCGGCATGAACCACCTCCTCGAAGCCTTCGTCAGGACGAGCTAGAAGGGGCGTACGAGCAATTTGGTCGAGCACTATCCAGTGCGGTTGCGACCAAGAAGGACTCGGTCGTTGGCGACGGATCTCCGTGGGCGCTCATCTTGGAGCTTCTCAAGCCTCTGAAAGGTGTCCTACTTCCTGTCGGCAGACGCGGTTATGGTGCCTTAGTGTACGCCAATTTAGCTAATGCTTCGACGCAACTAAACGACGAAATTAGACCGGGAGATATCATTTCCATCCGCAATGCCAAGTTTCAAGGCAAACATGGACCCATGCACGCCAAATACACGATGGAAGTGGGCAAGCCGGACCACGTGGCGATCGTCGCAGAGTGGGACGGTACCAAAAAGAAGGTTCGGGCGTGGGAACAGGGTCGCGAAAGCAAAAAAGTAAAACAAGAGAGTTTCAAGTTGGAAGATCTTAGGAGTGGCGAAGTGAAGATCTGGCGGGTGATGCCGCGTAGCTGGGTCGGGTGGAGTTCAGACTAGCGGTCTCGAGGACCGTCCTACGAATACCTGTGGCCGATACTCATGAGGGTCGGTACAGATGGGAGGGTCAGTGTGGATAGCCCTATGCGAATGCTGTTCTAATTTCTCCCCACTTCCCCTTACTCCCTATTAGTTAGTACGGCGGAGAGATGACGTCGGCGGCAAAAGGGGTAAAGGAAGTAATAGAGTCTACGATACAAAGCGTGAAGTGGGGTGAGGTGCGGATATCGTCGAGAGAGGACAGAGGCGAAGATGAGAGGGCGTGGTGATGATGATATTATCGATGAAGACTTAGGACAGGACAGGAGTGAAGTGGAAAGCAACGAAGAAGCAAAAAGCAGAAGCATTCGTTAAGGTATCCCCGGTCGAGTCGGTTGTGTCATAGTC